GGACTTGCTGCACGATACTGCAGACTGGAGGCACTTGATCTGCTACCGTTAAACCTCGGCTTTCGCGAAGGACTTGGACGTCACAGTGCTGGCGTTTGCACAGTGGCTTTCCGAGCCACGGGCTGCAGCAAGCGATCCAGTGTGATGTGCAAGAAGACCCAGCTTCAGCACGCTACATCTACGAGTGAGTTAAGGAGATGAAGTTGCGCAGCAACTCTTCCCTTCAGCAGATGCTTTTGCCTCAGAACCGTGCTTCAATTTGCTCTTGCCTCACCTCAGTTGCGCTTTTTCCGAGGCTGGCAGAAATGGGCATCATCCGCAATGGTATCGCCCTCGACATGCAGTCGATCTAATTGCACTGTGGTGCTGCTTCCCGACTGCTCCCCGGCGCTTCGGACACGGACAGGCATTACATCCAACAACACGGATTTGACAGAGTTCAAAAGGAACACTGCCACCGTGCAAGCCCTAGCCGCCCCTAGCCGTATGCTCCATGGTGTCAGTCTGCATCAGTCAACACTTGGCCTGCCAAGGCATCTGCTAGACACGCACACAGACACCCATTTTGTTGAAGTCTGCTGTGAACATACTCAGACAGGTCCAGCAGCAGATGCAGTCACAGATCTCTGATCTACGGGACAAGCTCACCGACGCGTGCGCTTTTATCTTCAGGGCGGACCTTTGCAGCCTGAGTTGGATGGTATAGTTTGCAGCAGCGCATCAGCTCTGCCACATGGCAGAAGACGAGGTACACAGAGATCGCCAACATGAAGAAAACGAAGAGCCAGTTTGAGCAGGAGGTGGCGTAAGCAGAAGCTGGCGAAGTTTGCTTGTCTGGTCTCTACTTTGCACAAGGTCCATGCAGAGAGCCAGTCTCTGTCGGAGCAGTTGCAGTGACTGCGACATGCTTACACCAGCTGTTGCTGGTAGCCAGGTCGATCGTTGCAAGCCCGCCGAAGCCAGCCGTTGGCTATGGGTCTCTTGCCTAGTGCCAGGTTCAAGACACTGGAGCTTGAAACCCTCAAAAAGGCTGCGAGCTTGTATTGCACTGCACAGCTGCAAGGGGCAGTCATGCTAGACAGTTGCGACATCGTGAGGCATATGCTCACACGCATCAGCAGCTCCAGCAGCAGATTATCCAGTTGCAAACAGAGGCGGGTGCAAAGTTGCAACAGATACTGCGAGCTGCTCGTGCCGCATCAGACTCAGTCCATTCGCTGCAAGGTGAATGAGCTTAGGACGAAGGGGGATGATGTGAACAGGCCGAAGTCCCACGTTGTGTCCAATCTGGCGGTGCTTGCAACGAAACCATGACCCTGCAGGCAGCAGCATCTCACCTTCGAACAAAGTGTGAACAAGGTCTCCGAGGTCCGGAATCTTGACAGTCTTGACTAGCTGTGCTATCCAAACATGTCAGGCTTGCCTTGCCCAATGAAGATGTGCATTGAAACTTGTGGGAGCCGTCGTCTTGAGAAAGGACAACGGGTTTTCATGCTGCATCCATCTGGTCAGGATCATTTTTGCAGTTTACTGAATGTTATACTTCACAGGTTCACGGCGTGATTTTGTTTTTGTATGTGTTTGTTGATCGTTATGCCTTCGCAGAACAGCACGTGTCCCAAGTTTTTTTGCTGCCTAACCTATTTGATTCGTCAAGCGGGAGTCCGGCTGCTGTCCCATTCTCGTAACCTCGTATGACAGGTGGAAATGGCAGCACAGTATACGAACAACGAGATGAAGAGGAGCCACAATCCACGCCTACACACGCTGCTCTCAATCCAGCTGTTTTACCCAGGCTCCGCAGCGAGCACGATCAGGCCATCGCAAGTCTCGCTGAGAACATGAACAGGCACGTCCGACGACTCGCTGCTTTTCAGATGCGCGTGAGTCCAAGCCCTGGCTCCGGGCTCCTCATGGGCTTGCGGCTTGCAGGTGGAACGAAGCTGTGCGAGATCTCTCAAAGGAGTTTCATGATTTCCAAAAGGTGCCTCGGCTCTGCCAGTGTTGTGGTCGCTTGTACATGTGGTCGGTGGGCGAAGAGCATCAGATTTTCGTTTCCATGCCGTTGGCCCGCTGCACCAACGTCAAGCGGCAAGCATGATTTCAAAAAACGAGTGCCAGAACTGCCACCCAGGCCTGTGCCCCCGGTCGGTCATGCATCTTCAGCTTCAGAAACCTCCTTCCTGCATGAATCGCCGGGTCCCATACGGTGGTCGTCCAACGTTGAGCCTGTTTGGCAATTGAAAACCACCTGTACTCGGTCTCGGTGTTTACTTCAATGCTCGCATATTTTTGGGACGGTGCCGTCATCGTTCTTTTGTTCATGGACGGCTTGGACAAAACTCGGAAATTTGCCGCAACACGCCGCGCATCTCTGAAATACTTCCAGCAGGGCTGGAGGGCTGTGGCGGCTGTTTGATCCCCGAGGCTTGTCCGCTGTCATGCATTGAATGTATCGTTCGGATCTTCTCGAGCGGAGCCATGGCGCCAAACGGCGGTAGCTCTAGCTCTGGTCCGCCCAGTGTGCTTCGGTCGTCCGAGGTCATGAACGTGAATCACCAGAGGCTGCAAAGCTCTGTTTGGGAGGTGCAGGCCGTGACCCCAGGGATGATGCACTTCAAAAAAGCACACTTGAGACTTGAGACATGTGAGACATCGATGCCAGGGCAAGATGGGCCCTGTGGGCCAGGGCCCGGGGCATCAGGCCCAGGCTCGGCCGGCTGGCGCGTGGTGATAGCCGACCGGGAGTTCCAATCTCTGGCTGGATCTTCAATGACTTTCGACCTTTAATGTTAATGATTTGCCCTGGGCCGTCCGTGGAACCTGCGGACGTGCCATGTACAGTATCGCAATGAAGTGACGGAGTCGCTGGGAGGCCCCAGAGCTTCGCACTCACAACGGAACCGTGAGCTGGAAAGGGCTTGCGTCTGCATGCCGGCCCACGCCAACTTAAATTGAGGCCGAAAAGTAGAAACAAAAAGCGAGACCGAGCCGGGCCGGTCAGGGCGTGTGAATGAAGGTGCTGGAGTTCGCAGCATGGGAAGCACAGACGGACGGCAGGCGTCTTTTAGGTTCAAGGTTGAGTACATTGCGCATCAAGACGCAGCCTACAAGGCGGTAAGTAGTCTGTTCGGCCATGAAGTCGCAGCCTTGGCGTCTTTCTCCGTGCCTGAGTTAGCGCCGGGGTTCCTGAACATACGGACAAGTCAACAAGTGTGGCGATTGCTGATTTTTTGTTCTCTCCTTTCTCAAAGCACGACAGGGATACGAAGGTTTTACGGTTTTCGCTCAGAAGCAGCTTTCGAACCAGGCTTCGACTTACATAGATAGTAGTATTAAACCCGAGGCGTAGCGGCAAGCAGTTGCAGTGCACACTGGCACCCTTGTCGTCGTTCACCGGGCAGTGAAAAGGAATTTCTCATGCATCCCATGCCCTGGGCACCTCCCAGGCCCGCAAAAGGGAGTGCCCGGCACTTTGTGGGGATCTTTGGCTTACTGAGGGCCACACCAAGAACCTTTGCCAATCGGGAGCCGCTCCCATCGCCTAGAGCACCTTGACGGCACAGAGCTGCAGATTGGGACATGGACGTGGCGACCTGGCGCCTGTCGCGACGTGAGGTTGGACAATCATCCGGTGCGGTCATGCGCCCTGCCATGACCACAGCCTTGCGGAGAACCGCCGCCATTGGATTTCTTGTCTCTTGGCCGAAGACAGCATCCACGACGGGTTCCTCCTAGGCATACCCTGGCTTATCCAGTTGCCGCCATCATAATGCCAAGCCTCAGGAAGAGAAACTTCACATGCAGGCAGAGCCTCGGTACTGATTGGCGGACTGCAATTCTGAGAGCCTTGCGGAGACGGCTACACTGAGGACACAGATCGACCGTGCACTAGGGAACTTCTTTACAGAGGTGTGAGTGCAGATGGCCAGGGCCGCACGGAGCTTAGACACACCTGCGTGCATGTAGAGCCACTTTGCGGCAACACTATGCGCACCCTCACGCCCGAATCTCTTCCAGGCAAGGAGTATCTGCGCAGACGTGCGGGATATGGCATTGCGGAGAGGTATGGGCAGCCACAGACAGAAGCCCAAGTAATGAGTTTGAGCTTTTTGGCATGCACCGGAAGCAGCTGCCAGTGGGCTGTATTTTGCACCGCGCTTGGCAGCTGCGACTCAGGCTTGAGGCTCAATCCTGGAGAACTTCGTCCACCTTCATTCGGGAAGAAGCCAATCATCGCAAATACGTCCCTTGGAACGCATGTTGTCTAGGGGCTGAGATATGCCCAAGCTGCAGCAGGCGCATCTCAGTAAGGTTCTATCGTACGCGCGGAGCCGGCGGCTTCAAAGAAGCTACTGCTGACAGCTGATGTGTGAATGGGACGGGAGGACACTTGGGAGGTATGGGCAATTGGCCTAGTAGCTTAAATCTTCAGATCCCGAGGCCCACCTGGGGGAAGCCTTTCTTCCGCAGCAAGGTACATGTGGTACATGAGGTGACGCAAAAGGCTCTTGAGGCGGCCGAGGCTCTTTCCGTTGCAGCTTCCCCCGGAGGCTTTCTCGTTAGCAGTGGCATGTTCCGGAGACGGCCGGTGCTTGTCACGCTCGCTCTAGCACTCTAGCGCTCTAGCGGCTAGCGCTGCCAACCTGGCTTTTTGGTTTCTGCTCCGCCGCCCAAGGCAGCTCGCAGGATTCCTAGGTCTGGTCTTTTCCAAGGTCCTTTCTTGGGCAAAGCTCACTTCCGTCCGAAGCCGATGCGAGCACACTTTGCCTGAGTTGAAAAACGAAAGTTTCGGACAGATGCAAACGAAAGGTGCAGCAGCAGCGCTTCAGAGCCCGGCCCTAAGCCCTGCAAGGACTTACCATGCTGCAGCCATCGTGGCAGCTGAGTTCTGTCCGCTATTCCCGGAACCCCAGCGCAAGCCTCAAGCCCACGACTGCCCGAACCCGAGCTCCGGCCCACCCTTGCTCTACCTGACACTCTCGGCAATGCTGTAGGACATGGGTGTTCCAGCTTGTTCCCGATGTCGGCTAACAGGCAGCCTTTACGATCCATCCGTTGTCGGGATTGGAGCTCTTCCTCCGGGTTGCCCTGCCGGTGTGGCGTTGGACATCGATTTCGAAGCGTATTTGTGTCTGGGAGGTGAAGCCCTTCAAGCGACTTGCAGCAACAGCTCTGCGGTAAGCTACCTGAGGAGACGACCTTGGATCCTTTTGGATGGTTTTACGTCTAGACAGGAAGTAGGAGTTTGCCTAGTGAGCGAGTGCGAGACTTGCGATCTACAGTCCCTTGCCGCAAGAGTCGCAGACGTGCTGATCCGTGAAGCGGTGAAACCAACAGACCCACGACTCGCTCGTCATCTTCCTGAGGTGTCGTCGTCTCACGTCAAAGCCAGCTGGCAGCGACCTGTGTTGGATTGTGCGGCAGAGGTGCAGCATCGCTGGGCAGAGCTGCAGCGGTTCCATGGCATACTTGAGAGTGACTTCAAGTCGTGCCGGTCAGCGGGCGACAGATACTTTTGGACTACCTGGAGCTACATCACAGATGCAGCGCCCACGCCAACTGGATATTTGAACTTCGAGTGTCAACTGATTGAAAGTCCGTTGGGGCACGGTCCACTTGTCTATCGGGGCCTTATGTGTAAGGATGTTGAAGGGCGCTTTGATGACGTGTTTGTCACGGGATACTGCTTGCCAACTTCCTGCAGTGGCCCTCCTCTGGAGCACTTCTTCGGGCCTGTGCGCCAGCTGTCAGTTCTTGAGTTTACTCCTGACTTGCAGCCATGGTGGGCCAGGCTTTATGAAAGCAAGTCTGCTGACCTCACGCAACCTCGACTTGTCGTAGGAACATGCCTTGCCGCAGGGACGGGCTTCCGGATGCTTCGCTGGCTTCTCCACAGAATCCTCAACCCAAGCCCAAGTAGTGATGGTGAAACTGACCGCAACCCAGTCGTCCCACGCAGGTTGTTAGTTCCCGACTTGTTGCGCATCGTTGCCGTTGTGGCAACTCTCCAGTGCCATACGGATTTCTCGAACAAGTGGCTCAAGACCTTAATGTCTTGGCTTCAGTTTGGAATTTTCTTCGCAATAAGTGAGTTCCTCGCAGCAAGGCGTCAAGAGTCCGCATCGGCCCTGGTCCACTGCTCAAGGCTCTGGCGCAAAGGCAGTCGGGAGTTGCCCCATTTGGCTTTGACGGTTTGGGCTTGGAGTGGTGCCTTCCTAGCTGGTGACTGGACTGGTCATCTTTTCCAGCGAGTGCCGGGTTTCACTTCCGCGTTCTACCTCGGTGCACAGAACTGCATGAGGAGCCTCCATCAGAGAGGCTTCTTGGCAGAGCTGTTTCACCTCCCTATTTATTTCGTTGGTGCGGAAGCAGCTCATTGGAAGCCCTGTGGCTCTTGGTTGGTGAGGATGGACTTTCAACTGGAAGTTGCCTTGACTTCGCTGCAGCTGGTCGAAGGCCTGCTCGGGTTTGCTCCCCGTCTTTTTGCAGAAGTCTTTATGGCTTTTGCCGCAATGGCCCACATGGTACATATGACTGTCATCGAAACGGAGGCATTGGGGCTTGTTCGAGGTAGTTTTACTTTCGCTTGGATCATGAGGAGATCCTTGAGCCTCCACGCGAGAATGTTCAGACTTTCGTCCCCAATACACGCCTTGGGCTTGGCCACCGCGTTCCTCGCGGTAGCTATCGCAACCTGCACAAAATTCGTGTCACTACCCCATGTGGTTCGCAAGGCGTATCCCCACCTGCCAGAAGATCAGCTCAAAACTCAGCTCTTGATGGAAGAGGCAAAGCTTGGGTTGTTGGGTACACTGGCCTTGCCTCATGCCGCACTGCTCCTTCTCCATTCCAGTGAGTTCATCGAGGCGAGGTGTAGCTTCCTCAAGCCTGTGCTTGGCCCGCTCTGTAGATTCTTGGGCCCTCTCTGTTTCGGCGTGCTTCTGAACCATGGCTTCCTGGCTTTTGCAAGCTGGGAGTTTATTGGCAAGTTGCCAGAAACCACTCTAGAATTGCCTGCTGTATTGCAGGCACCTGGGCGTGCCAGGATGACTTTGTTTGTCATTTATGTACTGGCATGCTATGTGGTTGCTTGGGTGACTGAGCGGCTGCTGGCGTCTCCAATCACAGACTGCTTAAACTTAATTTGGGAATTGCTTGTGCGACTTCTCACACGTAGCGCAGCCGTGGCGTTCCAGCTCACAAAGAGACGCATAGAGTCCAGAAGTAACACGTGGGACATTATTCTACAAAGCTTCTACAGATGCGTGTTTGGCAGGGAAGGTGTGGTGCAAGTGCCGGTTCGTGGGGTTTGGTAAGCATTGTAAATGCGGGGTCGACTTTGCACGGGTGGATGCGATAGTTCATGACTTGCGTTTGCATCAAATGGCCACACTTTCTGCTGCGTGTGGGCTCTGTAGCTTGATCTTGGCACCCCCCCCGCACAATCTCAGCCCGGGTCGGCAAACAGCTGTGACACGATGGCTGGAACAGAGCTTGCAGAATTGGCAGCTGCAGTGAAGAGCACCACTGCAGAGGAATTGCAAAAGGCACTGCAGGACATGACGCGGATGGATGGCTTTGGGTTTAGGGTTTAGCGCTTTTAGGCTTTGGTTCAGGGTTTCGAGTCAAGGTTTTCGGGTTTAGGTGTTGCAACTTCGTCGTAGCCAGCAGACGCGTCGTCGTCTGTATGCAAAGCTCGTGCGGTCATTCATGATCCTGTTTCTGGCATGCATTGCAGTTTAGTGCATCTAGACGCAAGGAGATTTCGCTGCGATCTAAGTCCAAATCGTGTGCAGGATTGCTCACCCGAAGAGCGAGAACGAATTCTCGCAGCAATCGCAGCTGCTGAGGCAAGATTTCGAGTCAACATGATGAACTGCGTGGTGAATATTCTGCATGCAGTCTTATTTCATGAGGACCCTTAGGGGGTAGGAGGAGGGAGTAGGTGGGCTCAAGAACCCTAATAAGGACTTGATAAGGGTCGTGTAAGGCCTATTTGAGGAAGTACAGTACCCCCACCCGTAAGGGTCCCTATGATTGCCTCTTTGAACAATGTCATTACCTGGCGAAGCCATCGATTGGAATGCACGCTCACTGCGTTTTGCAGCTAATGACGTGTGACTTTGGACTGCTGCATAGTACGAGTCTCGACCAAGTTCATGTGGATCGATAACACTGTGCATCTTCCTCAGACTCAGACTGCTTCGTTCTTGGTTCGAGCCCTGACATGCTCACCCACTCATGTATCATCAGGGTCTTTAGCCCGATTCAGCCCATTGTCAATTCTGACACTTCGTCGGTGGAGCAGACAGCTGAATAGTGCCAGGCTACAAAACATCGAACTGGTGGCGGATACAAGCTCCGTCGCTGCAAAAGATCGTAGGCACAAAGTAGGGACCAAAGAAAACATGTCAAAGGCTTCAACTAAATTCGTCGGCTCTTTTGTTTCGGGCATAGGGTATGGACAACGGCAACAGCAGCAAATCTCAGTCCCCTCGCGAAAGTCAAAGGTTATGGCAAATCCTATCCTCAGCAACTAAACAAAGTGGGAAGACTGAAGTGCCAGATAGCTCGGCGATGCTGGGGCTAATCGGGTACAGCCCGAACCCGGGCCGAACGGGTTTTCGGATGATAGTCGAGCATAGTCGTGACATTGCTCAAGGATGTGAGGTAAAGTGAGACCATTCTCTTGTTGCATCCTGTCTACATGCCCTGAATCCTGGGCTCCGTTCTGCTTCTTTTACGACCCGAGGTCCGAAGAAAGCCAGTGAAGAGAGCACCTGCAGGCACCCGCCGGGAAAGGACGAAACCAATCTTCTGTCGGTCGTGTGCAGTGTTGAGCTGGACTCCTTTTTTGAGTAAACTCTGGGTTGGAGACTTGGGCCGGAAAGCGTGCAGCAGAAGCTCGAAAGCTATGTGGCATCAATATCTGACAGTGACATCGTGGACTGCAGGTCGATTCCACAAGTCCGGGGCGAAATCCACATGCTTTCTGAATGGAGGCATTCAGTGAGGGTTGGATGCAACAACAGCAGGTTTCCTAGTTTCAGAAGCATGTCGTGCTAGAAGTTTTCCACAGATGTTTTGTATTGCATCCAACCTGCGGGAGCCAACATCATTTTTGAATACCATGAGGCATTGCCTCAGAGTGTTCATCTGTGAGGATCTGCGATGAGTCGGCGATAAGCCCCCAAAGTAGTATAAGGCCCCTATAATACACACCCATAATTCCCCTTATAGAGCACTGAAGCCCGAAGCCCCCGAGACCCCCAAACCCTCGACGGGGAGCTCTTGAGCTCGTCGACTTGTCGCAGTCAGCACAGACTTTAAGCCTCGAGGTCGGCCTTTTCTAGGATCTAGGGTACTTAAGGGATGTTTCGTGATTCGTGGCGACTAAAAATGCACTGGCAAAGCTCGTCGTTCCGTGCTTGTTGTAGCAGGGGAGTGTAGTCCAAATTCTGAAGAGTGCGTAGCTTGAGAGGGACATGATGAGGTCATGGACTGTTCTTTCATCCTCCCCATTCGAGAAAGCTAATATGATCTCATAGTGCTAAGCTTTTTACGAAGATCTCATCACAAAGCCAAAGACAGGCAGACCTTACAGTCTAGAGTGCGCTTCTCTGTCAGAAGAAACAGTGAGATGTTCGCACCTATGCAGGGGCTCAAGAGAAAACCACCTCGGCATCAGTTCACAACTCTGCCCAACAGTTCGTTGGCTCCGTTGGTAAACTTTCACGTAGCCGAAAACTTCTATTCCATTATAGTATGTTTTTGTTATATTCTACTGTATTGAATTGTGTTATATCACATCACATCATATTATATTATATTGTATTACTACATGCTATATTGCAAGAAGAGCTGAAGTTTCTGAACAACGAACGGCTGCGACCCGTGTGAACCCGTGCCGGCTATCTGAGCGGCCTGGGTTTAGGGTTTGGGGTCTAGGGTTTTAGTGGCTTAGGGCGGTTAAGGCGAATCTGGATGCCAGGTTGCGTCAATTGCGAAAGGTGTATTCATGTGAGACCGTGACGATGGTGTGGCCGATTGTCAGGAATTTTATGGATTGAGTGGCATAAGGGTTCCGGTTTTTAGGTTGTTTTTTCACAGATGTGCGTAGTCAGACTGAAGCGAGAACTTATATTGAACTTGTGACGGATATGCGAAAGCTTGCAGTGACATGGGGGTCACATCGACAAGCTTGGAAACTACGACAGACAAGATATCAAACGGCTTGATCATGACTGAATCAGGTCGAGTTACATAGCTCTTGTCAAGTGTTCGAAGATGCACGATGCAGTGACGAGGGATTTACGATGTGCTGATGCTTAAAGCCATGGCTTCAAGGGCTACAGCGCGGCAATCGTGGCTTGGTACAATCGTGGGACAGAAATTTGGGGTTCGCTGTCATGAGAATGTCTTGCCGACCCGGTTATTTCGTCTGTGGTTGTGCAAAGCCATGCAGCCGAAAGCATACCTCGACAAAGCCCTTGCCTTTGCTCCTCGTCAGCCTCAAGTCACAGAACGCTTCTTCTGCTCTTGGTCTTCCTCAGGATTCAACCAAGCGCGCGGCATTGATGGTGGTGGTGGATATTGAGCCTGAGCAAGCATCAAGATCGTTCTGCTTCTTCTTCCTCTTTCCGCCTTAAATGAGTCAGCCGATTTTGGGACTGTCCAACGCCGAGTGAGTCAGGACTATCGCGAGTACTTTCTCCCCGATACTATTCAGGAGCTGCAGCGCGCTTTCGTGCCTCAGCGAACGAACAGACCGTGGATGCCCCATTGCCACTTTCAGGCTCGCGTGTCGAGTGCAGAAGGTACCCTTTCAATCCTGAGATGGCGATGTCTCGCGTCCTTACATGTCTTCGCAAACTTCCAAGGACAAGTTTGACACATCTGGAGATGGTGCCATCTCAGTCAAGGAGTTGTACCAAATGTGTTTTGCCGGCATTGCAATCGGGATTTTAGCACTGACTACAGCCGCTTGAGAGACATTTGTCCTCTGAGTTGCAGTGATGCGCTCGGCGAGATGGTCCCAAGGTTTCGAAGTCTTGGCAAGAAAGTGAGCCGCCAGCAGCTGAAGCATGTGCTTGCGGAGATTGATACCGACTCTGAGCTTCAATAAGCCCCTGTGACAGTCTTGGCGAAGCCTCTTGGAACCGTACGGATTCGTTGTTAGTTGTTTTGGTTTTGTAATGGAAGAGTCTGGGCTGTCCGGCTTCCGCAGTTTTCTGCGGGGCACTCCTGCTTTTTTCCTCACGTTCAACGTATCGTGTCAGGATGGGAATGGTGAGATTGAGTTCGAGGAGCTGTGCATGCTCGAGATCAAGATGAGCGGGGCCCGACCACGAGCAGATCTCATCGATGCTGGGCCTGAACTGCGGAGCTCTAAGCCGTGCCTACTACCACTTAGGTTTCTCCGGAGTTTTAGTTGAAAGAGCTCAGGATTATCGGGAGTTCCTGACCGAGCGCCAGGTGGCCAAACTGGAGACGGCTTTCCTCCGTAACGATAGAAAAAACACAGGTGCGATCATTGCCGGCCAGTGTCAGGTAATTGCACTGCATTTCGTGCTTCAAAAGAAGAGGTCTTATTGGTCTCGACGCCTTCTGCAGCATCGTGGAAAGTCTCGTGCTTTGACGGCATAGAGCCATGCCGTGGCTTTGAGCTCTCCTTGGTTTGCAAGGCCTTGCAGGTTGGGGTTCGGAGAGGTCTCTGTGATTCGCTTCGCAGGCACCCTGGACCGATCGAACACCTGTTGAGCAGCGTGCCACGCGCGAGGTGCAACCTGGCACGCTTGTGAAAACTTTGATCGCTACTCCAAGCATGTTCGCCGTGCTGTAGGGCCACCTCAACCCTGGACGTGGCAGCATGAGACGGAGTGCAGAAGTGGTTCGAATTCGAATCGAATTGCCAGGACTACGAGGACGTACTGGCCGAGGCAGCTGCACCCGAGAGACTGGCTCTGACTGAACAAGAGTCTTCATAATCTGCTGTCTCAGCAAGAGGTTTCCAGGTGCAGCATGATCGCTGGATCACGCACGCGATCCGGGCAGGTGGATCCCCAATGCCGCGGCAGCATTGACTTCCACCAGCTTTGCTCGGGCTTTGCAGTCCTCACAAAAGCACGTGACCAAGATGCATCCCAGCCAGGTTCCGAAAGAGGCTCCATTAAGATGAGAGCACATGACAAGCCTCGACCCTTCGTTGCTGTGGACGAGCCCTGCATATGGTCCAGACTTGCCGTGGCATGCAATCGCTTCTCCGAGGTAAGATGGTAAACTACAGAGAGCACCTTGCCAAGAGACTACGACAAGAAGAGCCTTAGCTCTTCTGCGTTTTGATCCATCAGGTTCAGGTGGAATGATTGAAGCATGGCAGTGCTCACGCATGTATTCGTTTGAACTAGCAGCTGGTAGTCTGCTGTTGCTTGAGACCATGCCATCCATCCCAGACTTCACAGACTCGGGCCAGGTACCTCCAGCAGGACGAGGTAAAGGAGCAACAGCCAGCTCCTGTGTTAAACTCTCGGCAGCGACACGTCCAAGTTCCAATCGCAAGGAGTATCGTCGCATTTTCAACGCCACCACGCAGAAGAAGGGCCAAAGTGGCCATCTCGCACAGCATCTCATTCAGTGGAACCGGTAGATTAAGCCAAATGGCCTGAGCGACTTCGTTTTGATGTAGACAGGGGGAGCATGTTTCGGGATATGTGGAGAGTAGCGAGCGTGTTCAGCGGAAGTTGTTCGCAACCTGGCCTTTAAGGTGGGCTGTCGAAGTCAGACCTGGACCGGATCTTGCGCAGAATGGGTGCTACACTGCCGAAGGCAGCGAGTGAAGTGCTTGCACTCCAACTCAAACGACAAGCGAGCGCGAGCCTTCCTGGAACATGGCGGGAAATGTGCCGTTCCTGCAACTGTCCTTCGGCAGCCATGATGCCACTGTCGACATTTCGTTTGGTGGAGGCGCAGCTGCGTGAGTTCTTTCAGTACTTCGACACCGACGGCTCGGGATTGATGGACTTTGAGGAGTTCTGTGTGATGCTCCTAAGGCGCGTCCGTCGACTCGCAAATGAATTTGCTATCGTTGGTTTTGCTGCCTCACTACTTATTGTAGGTGGTTGAAAGATCCGCACATTGTTGGTCATGGCAGACTCGGTTCACTCACCCCTTGGGCCTTGTGACATGAAGAACCCTGCCCGTGAGGGTCCGCAACCTGAACAAGAATCGGATCGTGAGCCCGGAGACTTGCAGCTGTTCTCAGTTGTGGCCGCTTGGCAAGCAGGGGCAGATCCTAACCCGCTGCATGAAACGAAGACAGCGTTCAGCAAGCATGCGCCATCGAAGCGCCTTTCGTGAGTTCCGTGCATCCGAAGGAAAGAGGAGGAATTCAGCATCGAGGATGGCCTCCATCACGTCTGGGAATCTGGGAAGTTTATGTCAGACTTGTCCACGGCAAGTCATGGCATTGATTGTGACACACCAGCTGATCGTTTGTGCCGTGCGATCATGCCCCATCCCCTAAGCAGGTGCGTAAGCCTGTCAGGAATTTTAAGTCCCACGATGTCCCACGATGTTGCGGCTCATGCTTCAGGGTTCCTGGGGTTCATGCAGATAAGCATCCTGACAGGAGCTGCAGCAGTCCGGCTTCACGCTGGAGGCAGGAGTTTGCTACAGTATGCCCGTGCACTCCTTCACCCTTTTCTTACGGCTTAGGGCCTGGTGAGATGCATGAAGTGGCCAACCGCAGTTGATGAAACAGAAGGTTTGGAGCTGACACTGTCCCGCTTCGTTGAGAAAATCTTGACCAGCTCGCATCGTACTCTTCGTTTAATCAGACGATGAGCTCTCCCAAGCTGACCTGAGCGTGTGTCCGGTACTCATATGAGCTGGTCGTGTCGCAGGATTTCAAGAATGCCAGCATACCGGTGTCTGCTCTACATAAAGATGGAGGCAGGGTTGGGAGAACTCGAGAAGTGGACGCCATTTCGCCAAGCAAGCTATTCGGCAACTAATGTGCTGCACTCGCCATGGGGTTTGGTGTCTTCTGACCCACGTGCTTGCTCGATGGCGGAGCCGCTTGGCAGGATACTCCGCGCTGGAGCTGCGACGTGCCGGATTCTCTGCCAAGGAGCTGAAGCAAGGCATGCTCGATTGTACCTTGTGCGGCGATGTCAAACATTGGCGACGGATGTCCTGAATGAGTCTGGCAGCAGACGGCACAACTCGCTCCAGTGGAGGGAGAGCCCATACGTGTCATGCTCCCCGTTCGATCGTCTGTCTCGTCGGACTCCCCATGCTAGCTGTTGGCTGTCGGCCGTCACTATCTAGCAGCCAGCCTTTCAATCCCAGCCGATCCTGTGGTGGGCTGGGCTTTGTCTGGACTCAGCCAGAGGCTACAGCTTAAAAAAGGGCACTTGACGATTCAATGTCGCCGTGGCACGATGCAAACGTCTTGAGAAGTTGCAGGTGGGGTGGCGCTGATGGAGCTTCGGCGAGGCCTGGCGCCACGGGGTCAGGGAAAGGTAGCCCTCACAGAAGGGGCGGGCATGCAATCAAACAGATCATTGCTGGCTGCCGAAAGTGTCTCATGCCCGGGGTCTCTGGACTTGTCAAGGTGGCTACAGCCTCATGGACCTTCGCCTGGCGGGGTTTTCAGCTCAAGCCCTTGAAGGTCAGAATCCCGGGCAGAGGCGGCACAGGTCTTGATCGGCTTTCAACTGCGTAAGCAGTCAGCCAAGCTTCTTAATTATTCTAGATGAGAAAGTAAACGCCACTCTGCTCGGGGCCCGGCTGACTGGCAAACATCAGCAACCGCTCGTCGTGGTGGTGGTCGTGGTGTTGGTAGAAAAGGTGGTGGTGGCGGTGCATCAGCGCCAGCAATTTGTGCAATACTCACACTCATAATGTATTCGCAGAAGTCACAACCCTCGCTCCCGCTTGAATTGGGGATGCTTGAGGCTAGCTTGTTAGTGCTACTGCTGCTGCTAACGGAACTCCCGCTGCTGCTGCTGCTGCTACTGCTGCAGCAGCTTCTACGACGACGACGACCACGCACCACCACCACCACCACCACCACCACCACCACCACCACCACCACCACCACCACCACCACCACCACCACCACCACCACCACCACCACCACCACCACCACCACCACCACCACCACCACCACCACCACCACCACCACCACCACCACCACCACCACCACCACCACCACCACCACCACCCACCACCCACCACCACCACCACCACCACCACCACCACCACCACCACCACCACCACCACCACCACCACCACCACCACCACCACCACCACCACCACCACCACCACCACCACCACCACCACCACCACCACCACCACCACCACCACCACCACCACCACCACCCACCACCACCACACCCACCACCACCACACCACCACCACCACACCACCACCACCACCAACACCACCACACCACCACCACCCCACGCCCCGCCGCCGCCGCCGCCGCCGCCGCCGCCGCCGCCGCCGCCGCCGCCACTGCCACCGCCAGCACCACCACCACCGCCGCCGCTGCCGCTGCCACCACCATTACTAATGACGACTCCGACTGCCGCCTAGGTGCCAACCGCCAGCTCCTTGGGTCATTCTCAGCTGGTGACCTCTCTGTGCTCCCACGCATGGCTCCCAAGCCTGTGGTCTCCAAGGAGCGGCAATGCAATTGATGGTTTTGAGTCTGTTGTTTGGAACGTCAGTGGCTGGCATTTTGGGTTTCATCGAGTTCAATCCTCAGAGTCTTGAGCGCTTTGAAGCTCTTCATGTCGCGGTGAGCAGACTTGAAAGGTTCGCGGATTGTTGGTTAGCCACAGACCGTTGCTTTCCATGGCCGATCATCTGCTCAATCGTGCAGACTTGCCTTTGATTGTGTTGCAGATTGTGTTGCAGATAATGAATGGATGCCTGTCCCAGCCATGCATTCTTCTTTTGTGGAGCCATTAACAGATTTGCCATCCCTGATGCGATGCGAAGACCTGTGCAAGGGCTTGTCCCGAGTTCTGCTCTTCTAGTGTGTGGGTGCGTGTGCTTCCAGTGTTTGTGTTCTCCTCTTCTCCCCAAACCGCTGCGATTCAACGGGCTACGGGATGGGTGAACAATCGAGAACGGATGGTGCGGGATGGGGCTTGGACAGCCGCATCACGCTTCCTGTCTTCTTGGATGTGCGAATTGCATTCGCAGATTTTGCTGCCCCAAGATTTCAACAACGGTGATTGGAAGCATAACCCAGAACAGTAAGAATAACCCCGATCAAACTTACCTGTCCGATGATGTCAAGGCGAGTCGCATGCCGCAAGGCAACATCTTTCAAGGAACTGCTGGTTTTCCCCAACGGTGGAGCCCACTGCATCGTCAGCGAATTTGAAGCCACTTTCAGGGTAGTGCTTTGAAGAAAAGGTTCCAAGCGAGGTGCAAAACTCCACCGAAAGGAACTTCACTCAGACGAGAGCCACTGCACTTCTCAACTTAACAACCTGGGGCAGTAGCGGCACCACCGAGATAGCTTGTTTTGGGCCTCTATCAGTTCCAAGACAAGAAACACACCGGTCTCAGGGCTTCGCGCTTAGCAGCGCTGGCTTTGCGTTGCTGAAGAACGCACCAGGCTGCATGCAGTTCTTTGGGAGTGGGTGGTGCAGGGTTGGGCTGAACTTGCCGGGCTGAACTTGCCGCTCGTCGACAGGATTGCTAAAAGCCGGATCGTCATGGCTCTGTCAGCAGCAGTTTAGCTAAGCTAGCCTTCAATGGTTGAAGCTGGATGAAGGGTTGTGCTGGTGCCTCTTCTTGTTTCTTTGGCATGCTGTCCAGGCTCCTTTCTGGATGTCGCTGTGCAGCGGCCTCTACAGCGGCAAATGACGCCGATGATCCGTGAGCACACCGCAGCCTAGCTGTCCCAGTGCCAGGCAGAGTAAGCAGAGTCAGAGTGTTGTCCAGGGAGGAGCCTGGGCTGTCGCTTTCAGTCAGGTAGCTGGCAAGCATCTGTCACTGTTTATCTTCGTCACCGGCACATGCAGTACCCATTCAGAGCTTCGGGCCCAAGGACTGGAAGTCTCCCTACACAGGGCAGGCGAACACGCCCCTCGACATTTGATACGATCGCAGTCGGTCTGAGCTTTGAGAGAGGAGGAACTCTGCGCGGCTGCAAGGACTGGGGACAGCCTGGATGCTTTGGCCGCCACCAGCTTCCAGAGGCCACCCCCACCCTCCCTAAAGTTCCTTAAAAGGGGTCTATAGGGGCTACTATAAGGGATCTATAAGGGTATTATAATAAGCAAGCAGAGCCACGTTTTGCCATGGCCGAGCTGCGACACTTCCACTGTGTCGAGGTCTAGGCCCAGTGACAACAATGGGTTTCTCCTGGACGCGAAGGGCAAATTCTTGGGTGGTTGAATTCGCGACACAGCTATCTAGCTGTATTTCCATTGCAGACATCCGTCCCCGCAGAGAGTTTTTGACTTTCTAGCCCGATCTCTCATGACCCGAGACTTCTGGAAACTTCGGCCTCGGACGTGTTTTGAACATCTCCCCGTCTGCACGATCCCTGAGGGATCTTCGCGGGCTGAGCCCCGAAAAGACTGCATGACGCGAGCCCACGCTTAAGTGCGCTTCAGGTCAAGAGCGTCGATTCTTGCGAACGAATGGCCCAAGCGCACGGGCTTCAAGATTTCAAGCCTGCCCGGCTGCATCGTCCTTGGCAAAGCCAAAGCAGCCCGAAAGAAGCCTGCCTCAGAAGCTTCCGAGACCAACAAGAAATGCAAGCAAGAACTCTCTCAACCTTGAGGAAATACGGCATGCACCTGTAACGACACGGAACAGACGGTCTCACTTGCCTAGACTCTGTGGCAGTGCCACTCCAAGGCATTCTTGTCACCAGCTTTACGTAAAGTTGTTTTCAACGTGTCAGAGGCCATGGACAAAAGCGCAGATGCGGGCTGTCTTGAACGAGAGCGGAATTTCTGCAAGATCTACACCGCGAGCCGCTGTCGATTTATTTGGACTGCTGACTTTGTTGTTTGCACTCTCGCCTAGACCTGCAGTACGTTCTTCCAGCAGCATCCTGCCAACGCGCGCTGCAGTTGATGTCTGTTTGTGTCGCTGTCAAAATCTCTGTGCGTCTGCCGGGCTCCAGGCTGTCAGGTAGAAACTACTAGTAACTAGTAGAATCAGGAACTGAAGATGCTGCGGACGAAAGACTGCCGACGGCACATGAACCTTTCAAACGTAAGGCGCACGGAACGCGGGAACTCGTTCGATCGGACGGTCCGAGGATTGCAAAGGGCCATAGGCGTAGGCAGTTCAGCAGTTGGGCTGCTTCAACACCCCAGACTCTACGCATTCCATTCATGCCTTCCAGCCAGGATAGTCGTGGATACCATGAGTCAGATGCGTGGGGTGTAGAACTGGGACCTTGATGGCGGTCGCCGAAGGGACGAACTGCATGAGGTGGCCCGATCTCGAGTCCAGCAAAGGAGCAGCCCGTGAGATCCGAACTTTCCGAGGGCCCCAGAGCTGCCCATTGGCGTGCCGCAAGATGTTGAGAAGGCCTCGGGACCTGGGAGCCTGCGGCCGGCGCTCACGTGACTCAAAAACCGCAGGCATGTCCCGGGACACCGTCGCCGACGTCTCCCACATCAGTCGACAAGCTGATGCTTCAGGCCGGCAGTTTCGCGCACCAGTGTCGCAGCTCCGCGCCACGCTGCTCCCACAAGTCTAAGTCCAGGGCGCACGCGCTGTGCCGCCGGAGTGGTCTAACTGGTGCCTCCGGCCGAAAAGTTTGTGTAGAAATGCCAGTGTCATGCAACGGCAGATGGGGGAGCCACCTCAGTGCTTTGAGGCGCCTCTATCGTCTCGAGTTCGCCGCTCTCCGCTGCATTCAGAGGCCGCGGCAGGATGCCTTCACAACCCAACCGAGGGAGCCGTGCCTCGCTGTCAGGAATCTGCCGCAGCTTTTCATGAGACTTGACATCACTTGGATTCAGTGTTCTTTTGTGAGAAATATACTGCTTCAAGCTACGTGATGACGGAGTATTGAACCATTTAGCCCTAAGGCTTCCCGTGGCTTTCGCGATACACTACACTGCATCGGAGGCAGGATCATGTTGCTGAAGTTGCAATGTCTGCAAGCATTGTCCAGCAGCCGGAAGCTTTTGCTGTTTGGTGTTCAGGCTGCTTTCGTGCCTCTCTTGGGCGTGTGGCCTGGCAGATTCAGTATGGGGATCAGTGCCGAGGTCGACGCACCCGCAGCCCTGTAACTTCCAACTTGGTGGTGGGCACACATGCTGCGCCATGGCTTCCATGTTTCAGTCTCACGGTCGGTTGCACATGCATAAGGATGACATGGACAGTCTCCCTACCAGCCACGGCATCCGTCGCAAGCTTCGCTTGCTTTTCCGCGAGGGCCACAGCTTACTTGTGTGTGTTGGGGCGTGAGTAGTTTAAAGCCAGCAGGGCTTTTTGAGATCACATACGCAGAGCTTGCTGCTTCTTTCAACCCACTGCGGGCTTGCAGGTCTCCCTCAACATGGGCCTGAAGTGACTCGCTTGCTCTAGTGGCCACAGAGCGGGCTGTAAAAGCGAGTTGTTGCCTTGCTCAGGTGGATGTGCCAGCGGCCACGTCCAATTTGGCTGGATGATGGCAGGATATCCGACGTTTGGAACATTGGCACCTTGGCATCTCAAAGTTCGAAGTGCGTCCCATTTCGTGGCAAGAATGCTTCCCGTGTGATTTCTGCCGACTGCATGTGAGGATCGCTGTGGGAAGCGGTCGATGACTCAGTGATGAGACGCCGATTGCCAAACCGTGTTGGTTCACATTCGCTTAAACAGATATGAGATGCAGTTTCAGTGGCGAAGCCGAGATTTCCCTTCGCTGTCGCGACTCAGGATTATGCATTTCCCAGTGGTCACACACACGTCCTATCCGGCAGCTTGTCCCGAAGTAGGGTTGGGAGCAGTGCCTCAGCAAGATGGCTCGGACGTCTTTGGAAGGCAGGTACTATAGGGGCCTTAATAATTCCTATACTATTTTGGGGGGTCCTTATTATAATTATAGTACAATGATTCTTAAGGCCCGCCGCTAAGGCATCTTGGTTTGCATCTTCTTTGCCTACGAGCTGCCCCCTGCGTGGCTTTATGTCATGTATCTGCTTCTCGGATCTTCCTGTAATAGCAGGGTTCCACTGTGATCCCCTTGAGAGTGTCATGTCAGTTGTGGGGCTACTCGGTCTCTACTGTGCGCTATAGAAACTGTCTGTGAGTCTTGACCCTTCTCTAGATTGTTGGGAAGGGGTTTGCCTAGTTCCAACATGTCCCACTCAAGAAGCATGTTTTTGAGGCTTGGGGCGCTTGCTGGGTTTTCCAGGAACTACCTTGGCGTGCATTGGTGTTCCTCGGCAAACTGCAAGTTGTGATTCCCGGGCATGGCATGATGATGAATGCATCTACTGAGCGAAGCGCACCCTCATGCACCGCGCACGCCGAGGCAGTGACACGGCTACGGGCTTCGTCATTGGTTGCGTTAGTGGCACTCTGTGGGGGCTGCTGGACGTCTATGGCCGGCTCATGCGCCGGGATCTGACCGAGAGGGGCTTCCCCCAAGCGAAAGATTGAGAGGGAACGGCCTGCCATGCGTGCGGTGCTGCCGAAGTCATGCCGAAGGTCGTGGTGACCCGCTGCTGTCTGTTTGCGTCGGTCTGGGAGCGGTCAGCTTGGCAGCGTTTGGGGCAACAGTGTCAGGACTGCTCGGAGTCTTGTCTCTGACATCTCTGACTCGGACGGAAGGCGCTGGGCATGACACTCCTGACACTTCTGGGCCGTGCAGTTGCGGGAGCCTCGCTGGACGTCACGCTGAGTTTCTGTGCTTCTTTCGAGAAATATTCCGCACATCATCTCTCTCGCCCTCCCTCCCTTTGTGCGTGTTTCGGATGCTGAGACCAAACCGGTTCAATCCGAGCTGCGGGCAGAGTGGCAGGAAACTGCGGTCCGTGACTGAGTCCTGTGCCGCTTCGCCGTCTTTCAAGTTCGTGCGGGACTGAGGTCCAGGGATTGCAGTCCGCCCACCCGGGACGGCCGAAGATCTTACCAAGAGATGCAGAGGCCGCGGCTTCCCAGAGCTGTGTTTGGTCTGGGAGCTTGAACTTCTTTCAACCTCTTGAGAAGAGGCGGATTCCACGCCCTCGCTGCGAACCGTCGCTCCGAGGCGCTGGAGGCATCTGATGCGACTTTCTCGCAGCTTCTCTGCAAACGTTCAAAAACTCTCTCCTTTGCCATGGCTGCCAGTTGCTGCCGCTCACGCCCACGCCGACTGCGGCCCCGTCGCCTGGTCTACACCGCAGGAGTTGAAAGAGAGACGCGAAGCCCATCAAACGTTGACAGTCACATGCAAGAACTGGAGTGTCAGTCAGTCCTTGTCAGGACCTGCGCTATGTGGCGGACTCTGCCTTGCAATGCCGGAATCCCAATCCTGTAGTGGGTTGCCGAGATCTGGCCATGCCAAGATGATGGCGAGATTTCAGGTCAAGGTCGCTCAACACGAGAAAAAGGCACCAAGTAACTTGGGAAAGTTGTGTTGAAGGCCATCCCACATTCCAAGCTGCAGGGTTTGCCAACTGGTCTTTTTTTGCCGTCTGTCGATGCGCCGCTGCTCCCTCTAGTGATTCTCGTGTATTTGTTCTTTGATTTGGATAGTTTTGATTTATGCTTTTTTGGTGAATTTAGGGCTTGTGTCGTCGCACGGTTTGGTGTCGTCGGGCGGTTTGGTGGTGAAGAGGATGGCTTGCCACTCAACATCAGTCAACACTGACGTCTCGCTTCGCTGTCGCAAGGGCGGGTCCCTTGCCAGTTTCGTAGGTTTGCCAGAAGTTACTTCTATGGGACTTGAGAGGCTTCCGCAAGTGATTCGTCCCTGGCGTTCAGGGACGTGTTCGAAAAAGCAAGGTCTTTTTGATTATTCGCGTTCCCCGAGGTCCGGCATCTACTCTCGGGTCCTCCCCGCCACCGAGCTAAAGTCTCAGCGTCTCTTTGGTTCAGGTCAAACATATGTCAGGCACGTCCACTGTTTTCCTTCTCCCTCGGAGTCTAAGGTTGGGAGCATGCCTGACATTCCATCCGTCGAACTGGCACGTCTTGGAAGCGTAGGTTCTTACAGAGCGAGCCCTACGCTGCGATTCTCACAGGCCCGTGTGGACGCTGCTGCTTCGCATGGCGGTGGGCCTTGGAGGTTAGCAGCGCGGTGTAATTTACTTTGCGCAGAGCGATGGTGCAAGCCTTCTGCATCTCACAAGCTGCTTGCTGTTTGCAGGTGCCGGGGTGCTAGCGCTTCTTCTGCTGCTGCTGCCGCGGCATCTTCTACGGCATGTCTGGGCCTCGGCGTCCGGCCTCAGCAGGCGATCAGTTTCAAAATGCTCAGCTGCTAAGACAATCAAACAGCACCACTGCTGCCTACGGACGGCCCAGATGTTTAAGCATGCTCCTTTTGAGGTGGGGTGCTTAGATGAGAAGCACCGAGCCAAGCGTCAGGTGGGTTTCGAGTTTGGCCTTGTTGCGAAAGTTTCCCAGATGCCAGTGCTGTTGCAGGTCATTTTGCTTTTTCCGTTGTCGCTTTTTGCGCTGTGGACATTCGCTGGTGCTCCGGTCTTGTTCGAGGCCTGCGATCCTGTGATGCACTGCATCACCGGGGGTCTTGTCGTGATTGGAGGGGTTGGTGGGGCAGCATTGGTTCGGGTTGGGAGAGGCCAGCTCGCTGTGCATTTGGGGCTATCATCTGAAGTATCGGACTGTGAAACATGTATTGACAAAAGGTCTTTCTGATTGAGTAGGAATGCGGAGGACTGCAACGTCTGAGTTTGAAGCTGGTCTCACAGAAAGGGTGCCAGTAATGTGCACCCGTGATTCCGCTGTGGCACCATATGGCACCTGTGGACGTGTTATTTGTCGAGCTGCATCTTAGTTCCCTTTCGCCGAGCGATGTCTGGTCAAACTTGTAGCTGAACGGAGCAGCTGAAGCGGAGCCAACAGCATCCAACTGCAAGCCTCGCCAGGAGTTGGGCTTGGGGTGTCAGCAGTGATCTGCAGGCGCGAGGATATTGGATAGTGGATTGTACCGCGGCACTCAGCACCGAGCCGTAGTGCACTTTCTTAGTAAATGCATCCCCGAAGACGGTTCGAGTTTGGAAACAAGCGATCTGAACGCCCACGCTTCTTCCTGAAACCAAACACAGTCATGAGCGAACGGGATAGCACGGATAGGGTCGTGGTTTTACAATGGGCGACGATGACGACGAAGACCACGACGATGATGATGTTGCTGCTGACAATGATGACAACGATGACGATGATGATGATGATGATGATGCATCTGCTGGTGTTCGCGTTGCTGTTGTTGTTAGTGGTGATGATGGTGATCGCCACAGAGCGAAATTTCACGCTGCCAACAATGGTCATGAACCTGCAGTGCCCATGACAATCACAACACAAGAGATAAGAACAACGGTAGCCTGCGCGTCTAAACCAGTTCTACAAGCAACACAGCAGTGCAGCAGCATGCAACGAGTGAAGAACTAGCTCAATGCCGCAAGGATGCAGTTATTTCAAAACTATGCAACAAACAACACGAGAACAGCAGGGCACAAAATTACGATCATCATGATGTTTGCTGACAGTCTTTCAGCGCACGACGGCAACTCGCCTCCCAATACTGAGAAGCATCGGTGTTGGGAGGCCAAGCGCAGGCCTGGACGAGCCTGCAGTAGCCAGCGCCTTCCATGTGCTATGCGTGGTCGGAGAGGCGTCGTGTCGTCGACTTTACTCAAGTGCAGTTCAGACAGCTCCGTCAGAAGCAAACGCTCCGAGCTGTCAGGTGAGAGAGGCAGCGGCGACTCTCTGTCGCCTGTCCGAGCCCTCCGGCATCTTTTTTCCGACATTCCAAGAGATGCGTGTGTTAACATCAAAGTGTTGACCTCACGGATCTTCAGAAATGGTTTCGGAAGTGCAGCATTTTTCGAGCTGGGCTAGTGGACACATCTCATGAGCACCACGCTTGTCTCATTTAGGCTGTGCACTTTGAGTCTTGCAGATTCTTCAGATTCCACTGCCCTTGTGCTTTCCATGCATGTGTGTTTGGATATTCAGATATTCTCCGTTTCCTGTTTTAAATTCGAAGTAGCAGCGGCTGCTCAATGCCCGGCTTTCTTACCTACTCGCCAATAGCTTGGGATGACACATGCCGTGGGCAATGAAGCAGTGTCTGCTTCTATGAACCAATTTTGAAACCTGACCATGACGAATGCCGTAGGCTCTCGTGGTCGACGGTGCATACGCCGAGTGTTTGAAAGCAGCAAGCTTTGAAGGAGCGGACTCGAGCTCTGACGCCGCTTCCAATGCTATCCGTGTATCTGGGAGTGTGCCCGAGCAGCGGATTGGCCGAAAACAAGTTTCAGACTTTCCAAGGCCCTCCATTCCACAGTAGCAGGAGTGCACCAGTTTCCTGCCAAGGCTGACAGGCAGACTCCGCGAGACGCTCGGAGTGCAGACCCGTCCCAGCCAAACACAAGAGCCAGGCATTGGCCCTGCTCTGCCCTGCTACCATGGTAAGCTTTAACTCCATCCTTCAAAGCTCTAGACTCTAGACTCTACACCCAAAGCAGACCTTGCTGTCACAGCAGCGATGGCGGATGAGGATGGTGGACCACCCTCAGCAGACGAGGCGCCGGCAACGTGCTTTCTAGACTGACGCTCCGGCTTTGCGAGTGGCCCGCACACCGCGTTTCGAGGCTCCGCCGGATGAGTCCGAAACGCCCAGCTACGCGCCCAGCGATGCCTCGCCAGGCTCCAGCCGCCGTGTCGTTCTAAACGACCGAGCCGCCATTCCGCTGCTGCACTCCACAGGTGCTATGGCAAGCCCTGCTGCCAAAGTTGCAGACCTGCGGGCGATGATGGAGGAAAAGGCCTGGTCGCATCACGGGGCTCATTCTGAATTCTGGATGCTACTGCGATTGCTGGCAGCAGGAGCTGGATCTCGACAAACTCCACGAGATTTGGAAGGAGGCTCAGGCGCGGGCTGCGAGGGGGCTGAGGAGAAGCGACTAGGCCACTGGTATGGGGTGGAAGGAGACGGTGCTGCCCGGCGGTCTGGTTGCCAACCATGAGGCGCTCAGGGAGGGCTACCTCATGGAGGTTTCCCAAATAGTACGTTTCTCACTATTTACGGTTAGACACAAACATGGCAGGACGTTGAGCCCAGAATTTGTCATGCGTCACCACGGAAATACAAAATGCAGCTCCTCAGTGTCTTACTTCGGTGAGTTTTGGAGTGAAGAAGGCAAGCGAAAACAAATCCGATACGAGCAAACTGAGAAATTGGCAAGCCGAGGTCAGGGTACCCTAGATTTCTCATTTTCAACTTGCGTTCCGATTTCTTGAGCAGTATTGTCGCTGTACTCCTTTCGGCTGAGCTAAGACTCAAGTATAGCATAACTTTATAGCAGGCGCTTTTGTTAAATGCCCTCTTGCTAAGGGTATACTACTATAGTACTACAGTACCATAGTCGTACTATAGTACTGCAGTACTATAGTACTATAGTATAGTATGTCAGTGTATTCTGGCTGTGATGGGGGCTCCTGGACGGAGGGCCTCCGACGATTACATGCTTATTCGCAGGGTACAGATTGAAAAGTCAAGCTCATGAGTTCTCCGCACGATGGCCATGAGTCTGTCATGTTCATGCTTATGCTCGATATATGCGCGTTTTTCGTAGCATGTCACAGGCTGTCATAAGCATGTACATATACAGAAGCACATGTGACGAAACTCTGTTCCCTGAGCAAACCCTGCGACTCAAAATCCTCGGGCTGATAAAAGGGCGTGGACAACGTTTGTGACAGGAGCTGGTTTTGGCAAGCACATTCGTCAGATGTGAGCGCGACAAAGGTTTGTCGCAACGTTGGCATGGCAAGGGTTTGTGAAAGAGGGCGGGACCCCTGCTACAAACCGGTCTGTTGATCCATCCCCATGGAGCAAATCACTCGCAGCAGGAACAGCAGTATGAGAATATTGATTTAGTCAGAATGCTCCAGCATGGCAAAGAGTTACCAGAAATGATGGCAAGGATAAGAAGGAAAGCTCACAAATAGGCAGGGAATGTGGGAGTTTCCGAGAACAGGGGACCCTAATATAGTACCCTACATGTCTAAATAGTAGGATCCTTGTTATAAGGCCCGCAAAATAAAGGTATCCCCCAAATTTTCAGAAACTCCCAAATGGGCAGGGAATATCAGGAAACACTTAGCTGCCAGCGGCCCTGAGCCTTAGGTCTCGGATTCGAGAAGGTCTCTGCTCCCCTTCTCTGTTGACAGACGGTTTAGGGTTTAGGGGTTCAGGGGTTTCGGGGTCAGGGTTTAGGGGTTTAGGGTTTAGGACACAGAGCACATTTCGGGGCTAGGCGGCCAGGTTTCGGATCAAGACCTCCAACAGCCTGGGATCAGGGCGTTTGGGCTCACGAGGTTTCAGGTCAGAGGGTGGCCGACACTGTTGTCAAGACTCCATGACCCACAACACCAGCTCTTTTAACCTGATATCCCCAGCGCAAGCATGAGATGCTCTGCTACAATGCCTTACACATCTGCCACCAGAAATCTTGAAACGGCTTTAAGATGTTGAGTGCCGATTGCTTGTTGTCTCTGCTGGCACAGACGGCGCTCGATGCGGCACGATCCGGTGACTGGGCGATCGAGACTCAGTCAATCTTGCAGCTTTGCAACAGGTTTGCAACTCCTTGACTGTAGAATGCCAACCTCTGGACTGAGGCTATGCGCGTACCTCGCCGCACGGTGCTGCAAGGCACCTGCTGAACACATCTCTCGAGCAATAGGACTTGCTCTCTTTCCTTTTGAGGAAGACCCAGCTAAGCTGGCAGCTTTGGACGAGCGCTGCCACAGGAAGACTGCTCGAAGACACGGTGTTGAGTCGTGCAGTGGGTCCTGGGTCGCAGGACGCTCTGGATCGAGGTGGCCGCCCCCGTGGTCGTTGACATACCCCGTGGTCAGGCTGCGGCCCTGCTGTAACTGAGGCTTCGAGGTTGCAGGAGTTTCCACGGGAACATTGTACTATCACAAAGCCCTCATTGAGTCTTGGCCAGAAGCCAACCGTGTTCAACATGGTTCGCCGAGATTCATCGAAGCAGACGACATAATCACTGTGGGCCTTGGGCAAAGAAGCTGCAGGAGCGATTGCTGGTGATGCAGGAGGGCGAGACAGAACCCGAGTGGGTGCCCACAGACAGGCTCAGATTCTGCAACCGGAGACTTTTCGATACCAGCTCGACCGCTGCCCTGTCGAGCAGCGGCGGCAAGTCTTCCTGAGCCCCGAATAAAATGCTTGGCCTGGGATCACCGACTGGTTGTCAGGTTGGTCTCAGAGATACAACTGGATGGCGTGGCTGGGACCCCCGTTTCTGTTTTGAGCAGAATGGTCTGTCTTCCGGTGATTCTTGTCACTTCGTGCAGTTATGCTGTGTGCATCATGTGCATCCGGAAAAGTAGACGAGAAAGCCATGATGTGCTCTGCTGCCGGCTCGAAGCAGGCTTTGTTCTTTGTATTGCTTAGGCAGCGCATCTTTTGCGCCAGAGGTCCCACAGTGCATTTACATCGTTTGAGGAGTGCCGTAGCCTGTAGCTTGTTCTGATTAAACAAAATGGGGCTCGCGGTCTCGTCCCCGGCAAGCAAGGGAAACGAGCAACTTGGCAACTAGCATCACCTTGTCAGAAGCAGGATTCTCACGAAGGACATACATACATACATACATCCATATGTATATGATCTATATTTCTATATGGTATATGTATATATATATATATATATATATATGTGTACCCTATATCATATATCATATATCATGTATCATATAAATATATATATATATATACACACACATATTTTTGCGTATTGCGGCTGTACGGGTTCTCGATTTCTTCCAAGATAGCTATACGCGCGGCGGGGTCTGCGACACATGCTGTCCGACTCGGCCTGTTGAGCTCACTCTACTCTCTCCTTTCCGAGTCGCCCGGTAAC